CCGTCCCCGACGAGTCTTCCTCCCTGCCCGCCCCTGTGTAGCTCCCCCATCATGCATATATCGTCGGAATTATGTAATTCAGTGTCTCTATATACGTCGACCCCGTACAACAGGCTGGTCATAATGAAATCATGTATTAATTGCAGGAACGAAGGACCTGCGATACAATACAAGTACGTGAGCCTGTGTACCGCGTTACAGTACTGCGCTGTAGGAGGCTGTAAGCACTGAACGGGCTCAACGCTATCACGCCACGCGAGGCGGGTGTGAGCCTCATGTTCGGGCTCATTGATGGCGAGATCAATAGGCACCTTTTCGCCTGTACCTCCTGCGTACATGTCGTCCCCTCCGTTACAACCACCCAGAAGTATGCGCGTAACTGACGCGAGCCAGGCGGTGTAATTTTCATGGGGTAAAGTGTCAATGTCACTGTGTGGCGAGGTGATCCAGAGTCAACGAGCTTCGCGCCACACGAAGGACCTTCCTAATATGGTGCGTGTCGCTGTATCCCCCCTCGTAGCATTGCTTGTCTACCTCCGATCGACCCGATACTTCATGCAGCATATCTATGGGTATGCCCGCCGCTTTTGACAAAGAAATGGTAACGATCGGACGGGTACTCGCTTCTGGGCAGCTAGACGCGGTACAAGCCACAATCGTCCTGAGTCAGAGAACATGGTCTGTATGGCCGCCCTGAATGCACTGACTTACTGCCCCAAGCCTGGGGATCATTTCATAACTTGTCAGGCAGTGCTCTGGTACCGGCTACGACGACGGGTACAGGTTGTCCGGCTGGATACTATAGATCAATCGGGACCGCAATACTCTGCTTAACGCGCGCGCTTCTGGCTGTGAACCGTATAGCTCAGACGAGTCAATAGTCCCTCCATGAAGTGATTTATCTTTCTAGACATATCATTTGATGACAAGGGGTTCGGGGTCCAAATTGAATGTTCTTTTAAACTGCTAATTTTTACTATTCCGACGATATATACATGATGGGGGAGCTACACAGGGGCGGGCAGGGAGGAAGACTCGTCGGGGACGGCGAGCGCGACGCGCGAGACGCTGGGCGCGACTCGCACGCGGCGGCGCGGCGCGATTGATGGCCGGACACGTCTCCGCCCGCCGCGGGCATGCGCGTGGGCGNGCGCGGAGACTCCGGAGCGAGGGTCGAGAGCCTCCGGGCGTTCTCAGCGCCTTAGCGACCTGCCGTCATGGTGGATGGGTGGATACACGGTGGTTAGCCCACAAGCCCAGGTTTCTCTAACTAAAGGGAGATCAGTGACTAGTGATCTCTGATCCTTCTCTAGTTAGCGGTAAAAGGGGTTACGGACGGGTGTTGGGGACGCAATTCTGATGAGAAGAACTCGCTTCCCTTCCTCGTCACCAGTGACATCAAACGCGGCGTGCCTTCTCGAAGAAATGCCGCCGGTTCTGGCTGAACGGCGACAATCCCTGCTCTGAATGCCATTTGATTGTGCCCAGACTGAGGGAAACCCTAGACTCTATGGACCTCGACCGCACTGGACAGCCTTTACACCTCATGAGCTCCTCGCAGCTCCGCTCAGCCTATGGATTGAAGAGGTCTGAAGCAGAGAAGCTCCGAAAGCAAGCTCTCAGCCTTGAAACCGCGGTTCAGTCTGCGAAATCGGCTGTCCTGGGCTATGACGACCTTATTTCTGCCATCATCAGCGCACCCGACGAGATCCACGTTCGGGCAGCAACATCGCGATCGCGGCGCTTCTCCCACAACACTGGCTTCTGAAGTTCGGCGCGCTCGAGACCACAAGACAACACCTGCAGGATTCAACCAGCGCGAGCACGATCTATCTCATTTGACCTACCTGGATGGAGGTCATCGTGCTGCACAGCTACGCCACATCACTAGTGGACAGTCTTCCCACACCATTCTTCGGAACGACTATGCTTAAACTCGTCTCGCCATGACCCACGGTCCAATTGATTCCTCTATCATCGCAGACAATATTCAATTTACCTGCGAGCGCTCTAAGATCGAGGCCGAGTACTACGACTTTGCCACAATCTTCGCTGATACCGAGGTGGACATGATGCGGCCTCACGGTGGCGGGATATATCCTGGCGTACACATCACCGACAAATCTGACCCCAAATCAGCTCCTGGTACAGCACCGTCCCCCGAGTAATCTGGCACTTCTGCGGCCACGAACAATGGTATGTACACTTGTATCATAAAGAGAGTAAGCTGATATCCTCGCCATTGAAGATACAGATGTAGATAAGCCAGATAGGGTTGAGCCGGCAAGCGACGACGAGAATAATAGTGACGAGGGGGAAGAGGAGGAAGGGGACGATGAAGACAGGGACGGGGTCTGTAAGGAGAGTGTGCCATCTACGCACGCCAACGAGCCATCGGAGGGAACAGCTCTGCCACGGCGTCGTAGCATCAATGAAGCTCATTGGTTGTTGTACGACGGCAAGTACGAGCATAAGGCGTCCATTGCTAAGCGCCGCGTCACCCCGCGCGATCGACTGAACATCAACAACCGTAACCTGCGCGTGCGCGCACGCATCACGACTATACGTGGCTTCACGGACCCGAACGCAGCTGCCGCCGCACACAACTCGATCCAGCTTCAGCAATCCTCATTGCCCGACATGATCCGGCTCGGTGACACTGTGACGACTCTCGCACTATCCACAGCCGATCGAGCGCGTGTTCTGAGTCTTGTAGTTGGCCGCGTTGCAAATATCTTTGAAGGCAGCGACGGGCTACCTTCAGTGTCGATCCCTGCACTAGCAAACCCCACCAATAAGCTGAGTGTCTACATGCAAATATCGAATATCAGTCACTTACCGGGTCGTGGTGCGGATGACTTGACCGCTCAAGAAACGAAGTGAGCTCCCTCGAGTTGTCGGCGTGCGGGTGACTGACGGCACAATCTAGCGGCGCTCATTCGGAAATGATGCTTTCCGACAGCGAGGTCTTCAGCTGGCGTAAGACCGAGGCGTACGTCCGCCGTGAGGCTTTCTCTAAGGCTCAGACAAAGGGCGGGCCGCGCATCAAGCACACTCGTACATACTGGCTGAAGCACCTAGCTCCCTCGTCCGAAAGCTTCCATTCCGTGTTCGAGCTGTAGGCCGTATCACGGATGCGGACACCCTCAAGCGGGTCAATGGCTCGGGTAATGTTCAAGAGTACGATGAGGAAGTGCTGATGAGGACGATGGTGGAGATATAGGACAAGAGTGTCGAACACAAGCTACGCGTCGATCAGTTCCCCGTGGTCGGCTCAACAGTGAACCGAGCTTTCCCATACCGCCACGGTACGTCGCCTTGTTCGTATCTACTTCCGAACACTTAACAGGCATGGTAGACGGACAGATAGCATTTGAATGTGGCCCCAGAAACCAGCACATCCAACAGTACAAGGGTACTAAGATGTCACGCGGTCATTGTCAGTGCTGCGGGGAGTACGTCGTGGGCCGGGGCCCTGCCGCGTTGCGCTCGCGCGGCCGCACATCGCGCGACACGTTCTACATGAGCGGCTAAAGACAGGTCTCGACACAGCAGTTCTGGATTGACTCACGGGTACGTGCCGATGGAACGTAGCATATAGGCTATACTGACGATATCACAGCGCCTTCATGGCCCGACGTGCGGCTTCTGCGGAGGCCCTTTCGAGGGAGAGTGTGCTCGTTTGTTTGTGGAGGACAAGGATACGAAGCGTTCCTTGCACGATTTCGGGTGTGCTTTTTCTCCGAGAGAGGGCTACAGATTCATTCAGGAGCGCAAGGGCGGGAAGGAATGTCCCGGTACGAATGTTCCCGTCCCATGTCTATTGTGCCCCATCCCCCCCTCGACAGTCGTTGCGGAAGTATATCCTGCGCACTTCCGATATTACCTCGAGCAGCACATCCACGAATATCACCCTGAGTATGCTACACTATCCCAACCCGGCGGTCTCCCTCTCCCTCGACTTGGTCTTCAATGATATCCACAGCACGCCTGAGGAGCTTCTCAAGCAGGGTATACTTACACCCTTTCATTCACCTCCCTTTACGAACAATGCAGACTCAACACTTTCCGCGTAATGTCACTCGTTGTCTTTTTATTGTACTTGTGTGGGTCGGACGAAAGACGCGACGCGCTTGCTCGACGCGGATCGACGCGTCGTCGACATTTCCTTTCCAGGTTTTGGACGAGCAGCGTTATTCGGACGTCGTTCACACAGCAAGGCACTGAGCATCCTAGACCAGGCTCGCGCGCGCGGCCCGACCCCCGAGCGGATGGGAACTTGCTGCCGCCTTTGGACTTTGCTCGCAATGGCGTACCACCTCTAAGGCGACCCGACGCCGCGGCTTCGCAATGCCGAACTCCCCTTGACGATCTCCACCTGCTTATCCACCGCCGTTCAGCGATACGTGCACATTCATGTTGAACTGTGCAAGACTGGGACTCCTCCTGAGTGGTATTTGAGATCCTGTGCCTCATCGTTTGCCGACTGCCGCCTTGCTTGCTTCGAGCGCCGCTGAGCTTGAGTTCGTCGAGTTGCATACATTTGTTGGGATGGATATCACCTCAACTCTCAAGAACCTCTTTTCAGACCACCATAACTCCAAGGCGTGGTAGAAAAAAGTGAGAAGATGTATGCAAATAGAGATATTGAAGAGGGAAGGTGGTGAGAGAATAGATGAAGGGGCAGTATTGAAGAGACTGGAGATGATATAGTGACTGTAGCTGAGTGCAAAACATTGAACAAGCATGTCAGAGAGCCGCAAGACCATCTCTAGCATAACATGGAATAGGATATCTCCAATTGTGAGGGTGCTCACTGAACCCGTTTGGCCGCCTGAGACGTCGCTCTTGTTATGACATTGGCCCTGGACCATTGACCTTCGTCGGGTTGGTTCCGGGCCACTGTTTTCCACGATTTCGGCTGTCTGGCCACCAGACGAGAGAGAGACGTTCCATGTGAATGTCTGGATGCATCCCACACCCAATGACAATGCTCTGCGAGCTCCAAGATCACCCTGTATTGACGCCAAAAGAAATTTGCCTCATCGTCCAGGATCTGTAGTGATGAACAATGAGAATAGAACAGATGCCATTCAATATATTGCCTGACCTTCTTTGAGCGTGATGATACCCACCCCATTGTTGATGTGTCATCATTGTCAGTATGTGGGGGAGCACTGTATGCGAATGAGCCGAATGACGTAGTATCGGGGAATCCCAAATGATTGATGAGGCCGCTTTCAGTGGCACACGCCTGTTGAGTCATGCATGTTACTCATACTAGTATCAATATGAATGTGCGGTTTACGAACCATCTGTGCCTTTGCCATTTCAGGCATGAAGCCTTCCAAGAGCATGTAATTGCAAGCTTGTATAACTGAAAGTACAAGGAAGGTAAGCATTGTCAGATAATAGAGTGCCAAGAAAACTAGACCCACAGGCACTGTTGGCCTTGACTTCCTTGCGGAGATTCTGCTGCTGCGCCACACGAGCCTTTTTCCATGCACTCTTGCCTTCAGGTTCAATTGGGGTAGGCAGGTCATGCAAAACCCCGTTGGTTGAAGTTGAACCAATCGAGGTCTTGACCATGGAACCGACTTGGGCCATGCTACGCTCGAGCGCTTCACGGTATCTAGCCCATTGAAGTTAGGAAACGTGAGATATGATTGAGAACTGCTACTCACTGCAGGTGTTGCACCAGCTGAGCCATCTCGAGGGCCAACATCTGTTGTGATACTTCAGATGCCTGCGAGGTGAGCATGTCGGCGTTATACAATGCGCCACCGATCTGCTTACAGGTCAAACCCCACATATATAGAAAGTGCCACATACTCACAATGTTGCCTTGCTTGATGATGTTACCCTTCACAGACGCAGCATCATATAGTATCACAGCTTGAAGACCAGCTTCAGGCGGCGGCTTGACAATGCGCTGCCACGTCTCATCGACCAATAAGATCTCCGATGAATTGAGGGCTCCAGAATCGATGGCCAGACGCTTGATATCCTCACTCTCTGCTATGAAGCGCTTATCGTTGTTGCTCATCGAGGCTCTGAGAGAGTGACAATGAATAAATAACCACAAGAGAGTCTGGAAAGTGCGCTCACTTGTGACAGGGAACGTAGTGCGCTTTTGCTGCCGCCATCTGACCTGCAAGGCGGAATTGCTTCAATGTAGACTGACGGGCCTTGGCAGACTGCACAGCCGCGCGGACCGAGGTGGCACCTCCATGTTGGGGTGAGTTTACCATAGATACAAATGTGTTGTACAACGATTGCCAGAACTTCTGGCGTTGAGGATACTCTTGCTCTTCGCACTAGAAGAGTCCCATCAATCAAGGCACAACAACGTATGCATAAAGACGGCGCACTAGAGCCCATAAAGCCGTCCACTTCGACTAAACACGTATCAGTCATACAGAATGTTGTCATATCAGTAGAGATGCTGACAGGTTGCCAAAACCCGGAGATACTATCCGGCTTGCCGGTGTCGGACGTCGCCCTGTTGAGACTCTGAACCAGCTGAGGGCGAAAGAGAGTGTGGTAGAAAGCCCAGGGTGTAGTAAGAGCGTGCTCTGCGTCCAAGGCTTCCTTGTCGGTATTATAGGGGCTCCCGACACGGGGAAATGTCCGTAGTAATTGTTCGGAGACCATGCGGACGACGCCCCGAACCTCATCGGGCGTGGCTTCGCGCTCAGCGATGAGTGGTTGGGAGCGAAAGTCCGGGCGGAGTACCTTGAGCTTCTCCGTCGGCTCGTCTGGGAGCTTGTATTGGTTATATAGCAGACGGTTGGTGGTGGCTTATTAAGGGTTCAGCAAAGCATCAACATCACTTAGATCTATACGCTACCTGACCCATTTCCCGGTTGAGAAGGGGGGAAGATGTTCCATAGGGGGGTAAGAGGCGTGAGAAGGCTGTCGTCTGGTGGTAGCTTGCTTAGTCTATGTGTGACGGACAGTAGATTGTGCATACCTTCGCCCTCCGAGTGGCCCACAACACTCTGAGTGGAATACAGGTTCAAGCCGGGTAGTTCACCGATGGGCACGCGCGGTGGCTCTTCCCACTGAACAGGAATGGGTACAGATTGGGTCTCCGGCTCCTCGAGACCACCAGGCTGATGTCCTGGAGCCGTTGTCATATCGTTGGGATCTTGTACTAGGGACCGCGCCGAAGTATCGAGCGCTTCGTTGAAAATGTCGCGGCCATTCGTCACAGTTTCAGCGCGTACACGCTTGGTAGACATTGCTGGTGTTGAGGCCTGCATGAAAGCTTTGAGATGATGGTGTGAGACAAGACAGACAAGCTGAGCAGGATTCGGTTTCACCGTATTGCCTGGCCACGCGTAAAACACGCGTTTGGGCGCCGTAAGCAGCATGGACGCCGGGCGGCGTGTGTGGGGAGATTACTCCGATGATTAGACAGCCAGACAGTTCTTTATTGGAATCGAGGAGGCCCAGGATCTCTGAATACACAGCAGTCGACGCTTGAAACGGTTGAGATAAGTACGAAGCCTTTTTGAAGGTGTGCGCTTTGGAAAGGCTTACGACGCGCTCTGAAATGCTCTGAAAGTGGCTGCGCACGAGTGACCGCAGCGATGCACGGGATGATGCAAATGGCCTTCTGTGCCAACAGGCGTGGCCGGATCAAGCGTGTATGCTTCGCGCCGCACCGAATATCGTAAGCGGTTGCTTGTCCGGAAGCGCAAACCCGTCGCGAGCATTGTTCACAATGGCAGTACAAAGCAAAGGGAATTGGAAAGAAGAACTGATGAAAGAGTGATCACAGGCATAAAGGGTAAGAACATTAGCATTGGACGGTTGCAGACGAAGCGCCGGCGAGGATGAATATGCACGAGCAACAGCAGGATGTGGACAATATCGAAACGAGTAGATGTCACGCAGGCTGATGTCCCGTCCAAGACCGAGGTACCGCACCACCACTCGCCGCCGGACCTGCGCGGTAAGCATGACGTTTTCGTCGAAAGCTAAAAGTATCGATCAGCTAGTGATGTTCATCTCGTATCAGAAAACTCACAGATGTCTTCCGGACGCTGGCCCTCGTACGGGTACAAGGTATGCGCGCGCATAGTCTTGCTTTTGCCAACATTGTCCAGTGTATCAATGGCCTGTGGCACCAACTCGCGCTCTCATGCGCCTCAATCTCGGGATCATCACCATTCGCCCGTGTAACCGCCTCATCTCCATCTTCCTCCCTCGGCGCTTTCAGCCCACTCGACTCCCTGCTCACAACACCTTGGTCGACCGCGAGATCGGCGTACCGATTTAAGCTTTGCCTGTTCCCAACCCGGTTTGCATC